TGTCAGAAGCAGTATTTGAAGAAGGTACTACAGCGCTTCGGGATGAATAAAAATTCAAAACCGGTTAGTACACCTCTTACCCCTCATTTCAAACTTAGTGCTTCTATGTCTCCTAATACTGATGAGGAGAGTCATTACATGGCTCAAATTCCATATGCAAGTGCTGTTGGTAGTTTGATGTATGCTATGGTGTGTACTAGGCCTGATATTTCACAAGCTGTTAGTATTGTCAGTAGATATATGCATAATCCAGGAAAAGGGCACTGGCAAGCTGTGAAATGGATTCTACGGTATATTCTGGGTACTGTGGATGTTGGTTTATTTTTTCAGCAAGATAAAGTTAATGGTCAATGTGTTGTTGGATATGTAGATTCTGATTACGCAGGTGATTTGGACAAGCGTAGGTCCACTACAGATTTTGTATTCACTATTGCTGGAGGTCCAGTGAGTAGGAGATCGATTCTGCAATCTACAGTTGCCTTGTCGACTACTGAGGCTGAATACATGGCGGTAACAGAAGCTATAAAGGAAGCCATCTGGCTTCAAGGGTTGCTTGATGACTTAGGGGTTCAACAGGACCATGTGGATGTTTATTGCCACAGTCAGAGTGCTATTTATTTAGCAAAGAATCAAGTTCATCATGCACGTACGAAACACATTGACGTGAGGTTCCATTTTGTTCGTGAGATTATTGAAGAGGGAGATATTCTTCTTGAGAAGATTGGAACCACCAACAATCCTGCAGATATGTTGACGAAACCAGTTTCGTTGCTCAAGTTTAAGCACTGCTTAGACTTGATTGGTAAAGACGACTATTGGGAGTTCTACTTTGAGGGTTTGAGCCAAGGTGGAGATTGTTGATTATTGGCTCAAAAGCTATGTTGCTTTCGGCTACTTTACACCCATGATGGTTAGTTGATTGGCAGACAAAGTGCATGGGACAGCAGCATATGGGAGACATAATGATATCTAGCATGGATGGCTTACCTTACTTGATTGGAGGCCTTTGGCCGTTTGGTTTCTTGAAGAGTCACTTATCCTTGGCTATAAAAGGAGATGCATGCAGCAATTGAAATTACACTAAAGGGAGGGAGAGGAAAAATAGCAAGAAGCCATTCGGCAGAGAGAAGAAAATTCTCAAATTGTTCTTTGCTTTGTATATTTGGTTTTCTCTTCCTATTGTAAGTGTGTGAGCTTGGGTTATTTGGGTCTTTGGGAAATTGAGTGATAAACACTATTGTACGTTCTCATTGATTATAGTGGAATACTCTGTCGTCTCCAAACTGGATGTAGGCATTGCCGAACCAGTATAAATCTTGGTATTCTTGTTGGTGTTGTTTTTTTTGTGTTCATTATTTTATCTCTTGCCAGTTGTGGTTATCTTCACTCACACTTGGTTGACGCTTCCGCACAACAGACTTCTCCGAGGAAAACAAGCTTGGAGAAGGGGGCTTTGGACCTGTTTATAAGGTAAGGCTTTATAATAATATAAAAGTATATTATTATTGCTAAGAAATAACTGATGATGTGAAATATTTATGGATCATCAATATTTCAGGGAAAACTTGTGACAAGACGAGAAGTTGCTGTAAGGAGGCTTTCAAGATGTTCAGTGCAAGGAACATTGGAGATGTTCAGTGCAAGGAACATTGGAGTTTAAGAATGAACTGACACTCATATTTGGGCTTCGACATACAAACCTTGTTCGACTTTTGGGATTTTGCATTCATGGTGTAGAGAGGTTGTTAATACATGAGTATATGCCAAACAAAAGTCTAGACTGCTTATTATTTGGTTGGGAATTAGACCATCACTTTAATTTAATCCGACTACTTGTTATCAGATTTCGTAATATGCATAAGTTTTTACTCTTATCTAACTCTCTGCATGTATTGGTCAGATTCAACCAGAAGCATTGTACTAGATTGGAACAAGCGTTTCAATATAATCAAAGGAATTGCTCAGGGACTGCTTTACTTGCACAAATATTTAAGATTGACTGTGATTCATAGAGATCTTAAAGCTAGTAACATACTACTTGATGGAAATATGAACCCCAAAATCTCTGACTTTGGTATGGCAAGAATTCTCACTCATACTGATCTAGAAGCAAAGACTAATAGGATTGTTGGGACATTGTAAGTCATACATTCTTATATATCTTGTCTAGCACTCTTGGTTGCCAATCACACATTTATTTACATATGTAAAAAATTAATCTTACTTTTTCTTTTCAATTTGCAGTGGTTACATGTCTCTTGAGTATGTCAAGGGGAAAATTTTTTGTACAAAATCTGACGTCTATAGCTTTGGAGCATTAGTGCTTGAAATCAAAAGTGGTAGGAAAAATAACAGCTTCTACAATGCCAGTCGCATTGGTCATTTAGTAGGATATGTATGTCAAATGAATCTCTTTATGATCAAAATTTTTCTTCTCTGAAGTGAGATTTGAGACACTTTGATACCCTAACTGAATATAAGCTTATTTCAGGCATGGGAGCTATGTAAAGGAGGTGCAGGGCTGCGATTAATGGATCCGAAACTAGGTGATTCATGTATTGATGACCAATTGCTCAGATGCATCCATGTTTAGTCTGCTATGTGTGGAAGAAAATGCAGCTGATCGCCCCAGCATGTCAGAAGTCATATCTATGTTGGCAAATGAAAGCATGCCATTACCTATACCAACAAGGCCATCATTTTTTGGAGGAACACAAGAGGATGAAAGTGATATAAGTGGGAAGGAATCAGAAATTTTATCAATAAATGGCTTGTCCCCTTCTGATATAGTAGGAAGATAAAGTTGTGCCTCAATCATACTTGCTTTTCCATAAGTGTAATGATACTTTATTATTTGTAAAATTATTGTTTCCAAATAGACTTAATGGAGCATCACTTTAGCTTGCACTTTGTGCCTTTGGAGGAAAGAAAAAGTGACCACATTTCTCCTAATCTGCTGGAGGCCTCGACCATGGATAAAAAGGAAGAGCATAAAATGCCCCTCCATCCCATTGAATTCGGGTCTTGGACCATATAGTGAAGTTAACTTTGAAGAGTCACTGAACCAAAACGCGCTTTATCCATTTCTTTTGTTAGACTTTATTTGAGCTTTCACACAACTTAACTGATCTATTTTGTTCAAGATGAAATCATCAGCCCTTCCGGGTCCTCTTCTCCCCTCTTTAAGAAAATCGATCATAATTTCTCTACATTTGATTAGGGTTGAATATGGTGAGTAGGGATTAAAATTAAATTTATTTCATAATTCAATATATCCTTTTTGGTTATTTTATATTATGGTAAATTAGTAATTCAATAAATAGTTTGGTAATATGATGTACTGATCAGTTAATTTTAGGATTCGTTTAGGAGCACTCATTAGTTGATAGCTCTTTTGTGGTTTGTGTTCCCCTGTAAAAAGTTGGTTATGTCAACATCTCTCAATGTTCAATTTAAATAATGTTATCTATATTTTCATAAATGTCGATTACCGATGTTTTCTCTTACATGATAATTTTCTACCTTCATATAAACTAGCTTTTATTTTTAATTATTTATTTTTCAGTCAATACAAACTGGCTTTAAAAATCACTTGCCAAAAGGTACTTGACAACTTTCCTTTGGCTGCTAGGCTTTATGAAAAAGGGAAATGTGGGGTTTAAAGGAGCTTATCTGATTAAAGGGTTTCAATTATGTGATCCTGCATGATTTGGATAGTGATTTTCTCTATTATGCATTTCATTTTCTATGGCGCAATGGACTCATACGTTTTAAGTTTTCAAGTTATGTCGGCCACTAGACCTTTTAAGTTTTCAAGTGACTTTGATGGTTAAATTCACACAATAATTTGCTTTAGATCGATCGATCAGATTCAGAACCAAAAAAGAATAAAGATAGATATGTAGAACATATTTTGATCAGCCAAGGTTTCATCATTTGGAGAAATTAAAGTAGTTTGTGAAAATTCATGGATAGCAGTGTAAAGTTGATTTTGTTCCTTATTTTTTCAAGCTTAATGTGGACTTATACTGCTGCTAGGGATACACTCAAACCAGGTGACACTCTCAATTCCACAAGTTTCTTATGTTCTGCAAAGGGGAAGTTCTGTTTGAGTTTCATTACGTACGACCGACTGAATTCCAGCCAGTTGGCCATATGGAGCACTACACCAAATAGCCAACTATGGATTGCCAGCCGAGACATGCATGTTTTATACCCGACAGGAGTTCTTACCTTGGACAAGAACAAAACATTGAAAATTATGGACCAAGGAGGAACTAGGTTGGAGCTTTGCTCTGCTCCGAAAAGAACTAGCAATGTTGTGGCTACTCTTCTAGAATCTGGAAATTTTATCCTACAAGAAGTGAACTCTGTCGATGGATCGACCACTCAGGTTTTCTGGCAAAGTTTTGATTATCCAACAGACACCCTTATGCCAGGCATGAAATTAGGTGTTAACCATAGAAATGGTCACGTTTGGTCACTAGCTTCATGGTCAACTGAGTACAACCCAGAGACAGGGCCTTTCACCCTTGAATGGGACCCCAAAGGGCGCGAACTGAAGATTAAGAGACGTGGGGTGGTTTATTGGACTAGTGGAGCCTTTACGAGTAAGAGGTTTAAGCAGATCATGATGAGGTATAATGTTAGCATCGTTTCAAACGAAAATGAAGACTACTTCACTTACATTGCTTTAAACCAAAGTTTTCCATCACAATGGTTGCTTACCTCAACTGGGCGACTATATGACTTTGGAGGATTTGATATTGCAAGGGCAGATAATTGTTATGGCTATAACACTGATGGAGGGTGCCAGAGGTGGGCGGAGAAGCCAACTTGTAGGCATGTTGGTGATACATTTGAGCTAAAAAATGGTTTCTTTAGACTAACCAGCTCTAATTCAACATTCCTGAATGATTCGGATACAAGTCTCAGTATTAGTGATTGCAAGGATTCTTGTTGGAAAAATTGTGAGTGCCTTGGGTTCAACTTTCTGTTTGATATTGATCAGACTGGATGCCAATTTTGGACTGGAATGAACTGGGAGTTCATTCAAGACTTTAATGGTGATTCTACATTTAGTTTTTACTTGTTAAAAAAGTCACCTCTCAATCATGGTACGCCTACTAAATCATTAACCTTTTGAACTAATGAGCTGTCAACAAGTTTCAATTTCATATCAGTTCCTTTCGATGTACGAACATGTTCAGAAGTTTCTATTTCATATCAGCTCACATCATTCCACAACAGACAATGCATACAAACAACAAAAGATAATTTGCCGCGCGAGCACATGCATACATTTATACGCAATTAAACTGGAAGTTCATTAACTGCACAATGCAGGTAAACACAAGGGGACATGGATTGGCATTGGCATCGCCGCTGCTGCTCTGCTGCTAATGGTACTCTGCATCGTCTGCTATCTACTAAGAAGAAGAAAATTTACACTTTCAGGTACACAGAGTTATTTACATCCTTGAAAATTGTTGTTAGAGCATCTCCACCCACAAGGGCTAAGTCTAGGGCAAGGGCAAGCAAGGGCTGACACTATTCACGTGAATAGTGTCAGCCTTGCCATTTGTGGTTCCACCCATGAGGGCTAAGTCTAAGGCAAGTCTAAGGCAATTACTATTCAATTAAATTTATTTTTTATTTTTTATACTTAAATCATTAATTTTGATAAGCTTTTTTGATAAGATTTTCAATTCCCAAGTGTTAATATTTATCGTAAAATCCTCACTTAAAAATCAAGATAACATTTTCAGATAAAATTTTGAAATTTTTAGTTAATAAACTTCTCCCTAGAAAACAAGCTTGGACAAGGGGGTTTTGGGCCTGTTTATAAGGTAAAGGCTTTAGATTATAGGAAGTGTTTTGTTATTAATAGCTAAGTATAAATAGCTGATCATCAAGTGAGATATTGGGGGTCATCAATTCAGGGAAAATTGCTGACGGGACAAGAAATCGCTGTGAAGAGGCTTTCAAAATGTTCAGGGCAAGGAACGCTGGAGTTTAAGAATGAATTGATACTCATATATGAACTCCAACATAAAAACCTTGTCAAACTTTTTGGATTTTGCATTCATGGCGAAGAGAGGATGCTAATATACGAGTATATGCCAAACAAAAGTTTGGACTACTTTCTATTCGGTTGGAAGCACTCACTTTAATCTTATTACTTGATTTATTTTGTCACTTAATTGTCAAAAATACATATAGATCATCATCAACTTATAATTTCACTCTATATTAGACAGATTCAACCAGAGTCATGCTACTAGATTGGAAGAAGCGCTTTAGTATAATTGAAGGAATTGCTCAAGGATTGCTTTACTTGCACAAGTACTCAAGAGTGAGAGTAATTCATAGAGATTTAAAAGCTAGTAACATACTACTTGATGAAAACATGAACCCCAAAATTTCTGATTTTGGTATGGCAAGGATTTTCAAGCATAATGAACTGGAAGCAAATACTAATAGGGTTGTTGGAACATAGTAAGTAAACAATTTGACATTCAAAATTTTCAGTTTGCTAAACATGCATTTTTGTATGCCAAGACGTACTAAATTTCTGTTCTATTTGATACAGTGGTTACATGTCGCCTGAGTACGCCATGGAGGGCATATTTTCCATAAAGTCTGATGTTTATAGTTTTGGAGTGTTAATGCTTGAAATCATAAGTGGTAGGAGAAACAATAGCTTCTACAATGCTGATCGCCTGCTCAATATAGTAGGATATGTATGTCAAGCAAATTAACAGTTGTGATGACTAAATTCATTTTTGTATGCCGAGACGTGCTAAATTTCTGTTCTATTTGGTACAGTGGTTACATGTCTCCTGAGTACGCCATGGAGGGCATCTTTTCCATAAAGTCTGATGTTTATAGTTTTGGAGTGTTAATGCTTGAAATCATAAGTGGTAGGAGAAACAATAGCTTCTACAATGCTGATCGCCTGCTCAATATAGTAGGATATGTATGTCAAGCAAATTAACAGTTGTGATGACTAAATTTTTCTTCTTAATTTGAGGTGTGTGATTCTGTATAATTGAATTAAGTCTTTGTTTCAGGCATGGGAATTATGGAAGGAAGGCACAGTGCTAGAACTAATGGATCCAACAGTAGGTGATACATGTATTAAAGATCAATTCTTAAGATGCATCCATGTTGGCCTGCTATGCGTGGAAGAAAATGCAGCTGATCGGCCGACCATGTCGAATGTCATATCTATGTTAACAAATGAAAGCATGCTATCTGCATTACCTACAAAGCCAGCATTTTTTACAGGAAGAAATGTGGTTGAAGCTAGTATAAGTGGAAAAGAAACAGAAATTTTTTCAACAAATGACTTATCCAATTCCACTAATGTAGCACGATGACGGTATGTCCCTGTGGAAATGGTGGCTATCTGATCGTGATGTCCATGCAGAGACACATCATCTGTATTTAGCTGATGGAAAC